GCTGCGAGGTGTTCCCTGTGAGATAGCAGAGTTGCGGGAGGAGGTGAGGGAGGAGGAGGAATGGGACGAACAGTAACAAAAATCAATGATCAAATTGTAAAAGCATGCCTTGCCACATGTAAATGCTAGTGGTACCACAATGCATGAGTATCTACACACACTATGTGAGGTTACTTGGTGATGTGAATATCAAATTAAATAAAATTTTCTGCTGAAAGGTGATGGATTAAAAAAGATCTATTTTGACTTCTTTGAATTGGACCTGTAGCTAATCCTTTACCTGCTTCTTTTAATTTGCTCTAGGAAGGGCCTGAACACGAGCCCGTCTTAATGACATTACTTAAAACTGCCGTGGCCATCACGAAAGGCCGCAGGGAGTGTCTGAGTCAGAGGCTTTATATCTCAGAGCCGTGCAAGGCGCTCCTTCAGACTCACCCAACCAGCTGCCAGCTTCCTCTATGAAGAGAGTCAGGTAAATACTTCCAAAGCCCGCCACTTACAATCTGGCCAGACGCTCCCGAGAGAGGAAAGTGAGTGAGTTATGGGTGCTTCTCTGTATCTGAGACAGTCTGTCTAAGCTCTTCAAATCATGTCAAAATTGCTGCCCAGTCCGGTTCCTAGGTGTTCTATGTGACGGCCGAGTCTATGGCTGTGTCCCAGGGAGGCTGGCGCACGCCACTGGGCAGGGGTCAGAGACCCACGGGGCACTTCGTGGTGCATTCTTGGGATGATAAATAGCATCTAGGGAATGATGTACAAATCTCGAGTCTGTATGTCTAGTGTTCTTATTTAAGGCATTGCAGGTTGAAATATACTAATTTTGGAGATTAGAATGGAGCTTTTAATTGCATAGTGAAGTACACATCTCATTAGGAATTTATCAATATTTGAAACCACATTTTTAAATAGAAATAGAAAGATCTGAAAATATTTCTGTAAAAGAGTATACGCTATAGCATTCCACTTAACTTACATGGTGACAATAAAAATTAAACTTGTGAAATAGTAGTTATTCATTTTTTTCCTCCAATACGTGTATTTCGGTTTGTTATACAGGAGTTTTTGTCTCCACCAACAATATGCTATGAAATATGATTCTTTTTCTTTGTACAGGCAAAAATGTTCTAAGATTAGATCACATCTTCATCAAATATTTAAGGCATATGATTTATCAATTAAGAATAATATGCTTGGGTACATGAAATATTATCATTATAATTTTGTTTTATTGAGTGTGTTTTGTCCCTGGTTTTTGTCACGCCTTATTTAAAAATTACTTTCCTTTCCTCTAATTAGACTTTTTAAAGAAGTGCTTTAGTGAGAACATACTTATCCTTTTGTGTTGGCGACAGGAAGGAAGGGGTAACACATTTTCTGGGCTGAAATATACCGTAAGCCAGCAAACAGGCCTTCGGCTTCCGCGGGCTTTTGGTGGGCAAGTCTCTCGGGGACTGAAAAAACTTCATGAGTTTTACTAACTGGAAAGTTATCAATCAACCATATATCAGTATATTAAGCTAAAAATGCCTATGTGAGAAACATGAGAATATGGTATATTTGTACTGAGATATAACATTAGTTGAAAGCCACATTTTTACCATAGGAAAAGAATTTTTCTTCATTGCTATGTCTGAACAACGGCATACCGGACAATATCATGTGGGTATTATTTCTCTAGCAACAAAACTTGCTTTCTTTTTTACTTTCCTTTAGTTATTTAGCTAGGACCGAAGTCGTCATATAGTTATCGATGGCTCATTGTATTTTGTTGTCACCGTTGTTTTTAAGGAGTTGCTGTGAAAAGAAATTATAGGAGAAAGAAAAATCACGGTTTTGGTATCATGTGAATATTTAGTTACCTTTCCCCCGATGGAAATTCAATCAGGGTTGAATTTGCGAACAAGAGTCGGCATGAGAAGGAAAGAATCTTGCTTTCATTTCCGGAACCCACAGCGTACCTGCGTAAAGCTTATAAAATCAATTATGTGAAGTGAACATACTTTTTGGTATTTATTTTCAACATGTATGAACAAGAATGCTGAAAGATATATAATTTAATGCCATTTATCACTTTAAAAGTCATTGCTTGGGAATGGATGATGGTCTAGGAATGTCTCAGTTCCTACTTCTCGATAATGATGATTTTTCTACCGTGGTTTCTCTGCTGAAGTGATAACAAATATGTACTTGATGCCTGAGCGCACCAGCTTCTGTGCAGCTTGCTTTCTCTTCAATGTTTTGTGAAAGGCACCGGGATGACCGAAAGAAACTGAAAATGGGGGAACTAGCCCCGACCGGGTGCCTCCGTGGGTAGGCTGAAGCATTGTCTCCGAGACCAGAGGGTTCCAGGTTTGACCCCTGGTTCGGGGCATACCTAGGTTGAGGGTCTGGTCCCTGGCCAGGGTACATAGGAGAGGCAACTGATCGATGTTTCTTTTTCACATTGATGCTTCTCTGTCTTTTTCTCTCCCTTCCCCTCTCTCTCAAATCGATTTAAAAACATATTCTTAGGTGAGGATTAAAAAAATTGTGACTTGAAGAATTATTTGAAAGAGTTTTTTCACCCTAGGAAGTAAAATACTAAAACTTAAATTTGTAAAGGAAGAAGACAAGCTGGATCTGGACCAAAGAAAAATGTACGGAAAAGTGTGTTTTCGTGCTTTGGGAGTGTGCTACTACCAAGTAACTTCCAGACCACGTTGGACCAAACAGGTGTCCAAACAGGGTCATATAAAAATCTTTCAGGTCTCATTCTGAAGATTCTAGTCTATATTATACCAAATGTGTTAAAATATACCCACAATTCTCCATTAAATATAATTTTCACTATGAAAAGTTTAGAAGGATTATTATGATTTTATATTTAAAGTTACTTTCCTAAGAGTGATTAATTTCACTTATTATGATTTTCAGCAATCAACATGAAATTTAGAAAAGTGTTTCAAGAGAATCTAGCTCACGTTTTCTCCCTAAAATTAAGGAAATTTATGATTTCTAAACTTAATATAAAGACCAACTTGTGCTTCAATTTAGTGTATTTACTTGTATATTCATTAATTTTAATCTTATCATTTTTCATATTTTTAGAAACAAGACTTACTTTTTCAGATGTAGAATACGATTTTGAATCCCTGAAAAGTTTGGGGGCCACGGGCAATGCTAATATTGCCCACTGGATTCTGTATGGAATCAGTTAAATTTTTTCTGGATCGCTATGAAAAAATAAACGTAGATGTTTGTTCTTGGAGTAACTGGTATGTGGAGTGTGAATGGTTTTCTCACTCTGTGTTCCTGGGGGTATAACTGTAGAATGGGACCCATAGTGAATTGAAAGGTAGCTGAATTTGACCTTGAACGACCGTCTTATTTACAGCCCTGTGCCTCCATGATGTTCTCAGGGTTTGGAATTCCAAAGTGCAGAATATGGGGTCCTCAGAACACTCTGGAAATATCTAAGCTGATGCTTTGCAGGACAGAAGAGAGACCAAGGAATGTCGCAGCGTTAATCCACTGACCATCTATAATGGGTCAGGCATTATATAAAGTTGTTTCTCAATTTCATTGTTAAACTTAAGCTCCTATGTGGTAAAATAGAATTGAACATTTATTTTAATGTCATTTTTAATTTTGCAAGGCATCACGCTTTTGTGACGTCACTGAAATAAGTACGATGACAGTTTTAGGATATTCGTGTTGCAAACCACAAATATGTCCCTCCTCCTGACTCTTTTTTTGTTTCCACCCCACGCCCTGACACCTCACCCCAAGTGCCCTGATGCTGTGGTGTGGTCCTCTCATGGGGGTAAGGGTGGAAGGACACATGTTTTTCTGCCGTATAAATTGATCATCTCACTGAAGAAGGTGAAACTTCGAAACTCAGAGAAGTTAAAGAATTGACCCAGATCACACAGCTACTAACCACAGGCTTGGGGTTAGGACTGGGCCCCTTAAGGGTTTGCATCTCTTGGGACCTACCACACCATGGGGCATGATAGCACAGAATATTGAAGAAGAATAATGTGGAGTATTCATGTTCATTCACATAGTCTGAGACGACTTCTACTGTGGTACTGGGATCGGTTTGAATATTATGTAGAAAGTCCGCAAGAAAAAAATACCAAAATAGATTCCTGAAAAATTACATGGCGGGGGGGGGGGGGGGGCGGGGCGTTGGGCAGGAACAACATTAAGAATTCAAGGATACTCTCATTTTCATCCTGGGTTCTAAACTTGCTTTTGTACCTTAGGTTCTCTAGTAAGAGATAGACTTCTGTACTGGAAAGTCTTATGAATGTGTGTGATACATAATATGACAATTATATTTCCATTCCCAGAAGAAGCAGAAAAAATCCTGAAAATAATACATACACGTATAGGCCCAAGGATGCATAATGCTAGAAATTAGGATGGTCCCCCCAAAAGTTAGGATGTATGATCATTCTAAAAATGTGTATGCAGGCTGCAATGGAGAGAATGACTAAGAAAGTGCTCTATTAAATCTCCAGGACTAGAGCCCATTTAACAGACTGTTCAATATTATAATATTTACTTTTCTGCAAACAGTACTTTTGCTTTATTTCAGCTTAGAAATCTGGGGTGATCTTATAATAGACCCCACGAATGCATCTGCTTAGGACTTGAAAATGAAACTATCAGAGGCCACTTAATAGAAATGTCACATTAGGAAGCAATGGGAATATGTCCTATACCCGTGAGACCATGGGCAGAAACACAGAAACATTACACTAGACAATATTAAAGTAAAAAATGAGTGTATCTTATTCCTGTTGCCAGTAGAGGTAGTTTTAGCATGTTGGCAACAAGAATACTGGAGCAAAGGAACATTTTTTGTTGTTCTAAGTTATTTATGGTTACATCCAAGGCTGAAGAAATGAAGCGTTTAGAAAGTAGAAGAATATAAAACCCATGACATTGGCGGAAAATGCCCTCGGAATGTATTTCATGTCTTCATTCTTCTCCAGGTGGCACTCCGTTTCACGATGGCCTCCCTTGCTGCAGTGAATGCAGACTTCGGCTTCAACCTCTTCCGAGAGATGGATAGCAATCACGGAGGTGGAAATGTGTTCTTTTCCTCTCTCAGCATCTTCACAGCCCTGGCCGTGGTCCGCTTGGGGGCGCGGGGTGACTGTGCTGCTCAGATGGACAAGGTCAGTCTCAGCTGCGGCTCCTGCAGTTAGTCCCCAGGGCAGCTGGTTCTCCCCCAGAAAACAGTTGAGGGCACTGGTCCCAGGGAAGTGAGGGCTGGTCAGCGAGTCCCTCTCCAGATGTGAAGAATGCACGCAGCTCGCAGGCCTTGTTTGGCAGCTGGGAGACAGCAAGAATATTTCTAGAACTGCGGCTTTGGTTCTTGTTCTTGGGATAGGTTCTTGAAGTGTGTTTCCCAGACCAGCACCAACAGCATCTGCTGGAGAGCTTGTTAGAAATGCAAATTTCTAAATGCAAAAATCCAAGCTGGAGGCTTGGGCCTCCCCCAGACCCAGTCAAAAATCACAGGCTGGAGCCCAGCACAATCCCTGTTTTGATAAACTCTCTAGGTGCACAGGAAAGTTCGAGAACCAGTGTTTGAATAAATATGGATGAGAAAGAAGAGTTCCAAGGAGATGCCAAGGAAGTCCTAGTTTAGACGCTGGGGACTGGGCACGAATGGCATAATAGAACATTCTAGATAATAGCAGCCTGCTACAGTGGTCGGCCATCAGATTGTCACCACTGCCTTTAGAAAGTGCCTATTCCCTCACTCTTGTACACCGCCCTGAGCCAGGCTGTGCAGGAGGTCAATGGTCATGGTTTCCCTCCCTTCTCTCAGGAATTTGCCATCACAGTTCGGTAGCAGTAGAGACACCAGGTCCAGGATGCATGTGGTGGCTGTCGTCACCCCTTTCACCCAGTGATCCCTCTCATTATGGCTTCCATCTATGTGTCTCTTTGAAGCACCGCCATGGGCCAAGAGCCTTTTCTCTTTTTGATGCTCAAATGGTCACAGTTGGGCCAGTACAAACCCCTTTAAACTAGCTCAAGAACATAGATGCGTATATGCAGGGCCCATGGGCACAGACAACGATGTGATATAGGTGGGGTGGGGGGCGGGGGCTCGGTGGAGGGTGGTGGCAAGGGGTGGGGGAGGGGGACGTCTAGATTAGGGTCAACAATAAGAAAATACATGGAAAAATTATTAAACTAAATAAAGTCTTCCAAAAGACTCTAAAATAGCTTTGCTTATGGACAACAAGATGTTCTAGACTTCTCTTGAATGTTCTTAGCTCAAAGAGGGGTCCGCTACTTTCTATGAGGTGTGGTTCCCTTACCAGATAACGGTGTGGAAGTCCAGAGTCGGCCTGGGTAGTGAGGGTCCACAGAGTGGAAGGGAGCGGGGAGCTGCTTGCCATCTGGGGGAGAGAATCAGAAAAGTGTATTTATTTACATGGTTGTGCATTCAGGCTTATATTTTTATTTAGCTCTAATATTACCAGACTTTCTGGTTTTCATATCAGATTTTTAAAGATTTATTTCTCTTTATCTGAGCTTCTTGCCCCTTTTTTCTCTCTCACATAACATTTCCATTGAAATAGAATATATCATAGATTTGTATCCTTAATCATGTTTTTTATTACCATATTATCTAAAATTATACAAATTTAAATTTTCTAAAACACAATTAGGTTATACAAAAAATTCATTATGACTTTTTGACTTGTATGTGACTTATATGACTTATGACTTATAATATATGGCATATGACTTATAATATATGACCTTCCACCGCTTCTGTGGGAAGATACAATGGTTTTGCCATTTGGCATGAAGACGCATGTGGAAGCCCACTGGGACCCAGGTGTCCCACAGTATCTGTTTTTACCCCCAATCCTCATATCCTGGAGCTTCTTACATTGTATAGACCCTTAATTTTGTTCTTTTTGCCATCATCTGAGTATGTTACCAGTCATCTAACAAGAAAAAGAAATTTTAATTTTTCTACATAGAAACACTAGGGCATGTGAAAGTATAGGATTCCTAGCAATTTGAATTATGGTAAATGTACCCTTTGAAATTTCATTTAATATTTATCATATTTAAATATTTACTAGTATCATTATTCATCTTTAGCTATGGTGGTTTCACCACTTAGTCTGTAATTTCTTAGAATTAAAAAAATATATAAAAATAGATATGTATCACCTTAGTATTGTACCGGTCTAGTAAAAGCCAACTAGAAATGTGAGAAGAAAACAACAAAATTAATATCAAAATGGAATACAATTAGAAATAATCAAAGAGTGATGTTAAATATTGATACTTATTAAAGCTTTTCTCAAAAGTTAAGTATGATTTCTGGAGATTCATATCATTTTTATGATATTATCTGGATTCCACGAGAGTTAGCTCAGAAAACACATTTGGATCTCTGAGTGCTGGCACATTATGGTGGTATGGTGTTTTTCTAGTACATCCCTATAATTCCAAATACCAATCTATCCAATGGTAACTTTAAGACTTTGTTTTTTTAAAGAAGACTACAGGAGATTTAAAAAGTAAGTCTGATTAGGGAGGAGTTTTGGCCAAAAGGGAGGGGAATTTTTCCTTTTTACTAGGCTTCACATTAATTATTAGCTTCTTTTTAGGGGGTAGTGAATAAAATGTTTAAAACTCTGAGGAGCAGGCATTGTTCAAACGGTTTTCCCACAAAGCCATTGATATTTTACTCATGATTACATATAATAACTATGACTTCCAATGTTTTCTCGGCTTCCTTTTGGTTAAACCTTTCTCCCTGAGCTGTTTCAAAGCTCATAGAACTAGATCCTTCCATCCCCAACTCCTCATCTAAGGGAGGAGAGACACATAAGGACCACTCAAGTTCAAGGTCAAGGTCAAGTTAAAGGGCACCATCTGGTCAGTGCTTCTCTCCCCCTCCATGTTTATTGAGGTGATCATTGGTGATAATTTCTGTTTGCAACCTTTTCATTTTCATTTTGGGGGTACTGAGAGGTAAATTTCATCTGTTTCTAAGATAAATGTTATCATGCAGAATGAAAAAATTATAATGACATCGTCCAAGTTATAAGGACTCATTCTTTTATTTCCTCTCCTTGCAACAACAAGATAAATGATTCCATGGAAATGAGGGGTCCCCACTGAACCTTTCTCTCTTAATGACAAGTGACCAACTCCATGTTCACCAACAGAGGGGTCATAGTCACAATGAAATCGACCACAAAACTGTGAAGCAGATGTTCAAGGACCCTCACAACTCTATCAATGGGGAAGAGATAACTACAATATTCTTTAAGTCATTGCAAATCTCCATGCTTGTCCCAAGCAAAATGAAAAAGGGGGCTGATGTTCTTTAAACACCACAACATCATCGAATTAGAGGGAAAAATGGTGCTAAGGCTGCCAAGAAGGGTGCTTTGATGCCTGCAAAGACCACATTTGTAATTTTAAATTAACTTCTAATTTGTATATTAAATTGTCTTGTTGATTTTACCTATCTCTCACTTCATTGCATACTATTATTGAAGATTACGAGGATGTAGAAATGAAGTAAGTTCCAAATCTCTGACCTGGTAAAGCTAAGAGTGGTACTCCCGACCCTGTTAAGTTTTCATGTTTCTTTCTGAGCTGTTCCATTTTCCCATAGCCAGTAAGGTGGTGTTCTGAATTGGGGATCAGAAGTCTTGATGTTGAAAGCCCCCACAGAGGCACTAATAGCAAGACTGACTGGCTTAATTAAATTCCCCTTCTGCCTACCCCTGCTGCTCTCTATAGGTGTGGTTCAAATATAGCATACAGGATCCCTCAAGGAAAAGCTTCATACTGTATTTCTACAAAACTCCAACCAATGAGATTCTAACAGTCACAAACTGAGACAGTCAAACAAATCCACCATTGCCTGGTGGCTACTGATACCATTCCAACAATTGGTAGGAGGATACGTTGAATGAGTCCATGATTACCTGTGTTCTGTCCACCCATGCCCGGGAGGCAGCACGCACACCGTCTGGCCTGGTCACTTGCGCAGGTGGTTGTCGTATGGGTAGTACGCTTTTGTCCCTCCCTCATGGAGAATTTTCATTTTAGATCCCGTGGACATAAGGGTTTGAGGGGCCTTCGGATAAAGTGCAACAGAAACTCAAGACTTGGGCATAGAGCAGTTGTTAGACTAGTGGGGCTGTGAGAGCCACCGTGAAAAAGGAAAAACTTAAAACTGCTTACTTTCAAATAATCACAGGATCAGAAATTATATATCCCAAGTTCCAATGTAGCTTCGGCTTTAGGAATTTCTAGATAGTCAATAACTACTTTGTCTTATACTTTGGTGCCTACATGGTTAGCCTCCACTTTGCCTCCTACGTGATTAACCAAAGTTTTCATTTTTTATTTGACCTCTTTTTATCCTTGTCTAGGTTTAATTAGTGGGTAATGATTAAATTACCTCCCCAGAAGGAGGAAACTAAAATAATTAAACACATTTCATTTGTAGCCATTGATTTCACTCTCCCAGTTCGTACTTTCTCCAGTGAGCCACATGTTTTAAGCAAGTAAGTAGGGCAGCTGCACCTATACCAATTAAAGTACCAACGAAGTACACATTTCATTCCTGGCCCATGGGCTCACACACACACTCACATACTCACACACTCACACACACTCTACCAATGAACTCTCCACGCCTTGTTTTGTTTCGCCAGGTCCCTTCTTGTTGAGCATGGTCTGCTAACTGCTTTCTTTGCTCCTGTTTGCAGGTCCTCCGCATCAGTAGAATCTCAGGACACGGAGACTCTTCTAATGCTCAGGTAAAGACAATGTTTTCTTTTGAAAAACAGACTGCAAGACTAAATTTAGAAAAATTCTTGTCTCACTGATATATTGAATTATGTGCTGTCCTGTAAAAACAAAAGAACATGGTTTATTCAGATTTCCATATTGTGAATATTTCAGACATGATTTTTTGATAATTTCTTTGTTATTTATTAATTTACCAATATTTTTCTTGCCCAGCCAGCTTTAGGCAAGGTTGTGCAGAACTAAATATTTTACTTTTATCTTAGATATTCGCAGCCAACTTACATTGGTAAAATGAATTATTTAGTACACATGGTAGCCAAATTCATTGTCTTCTGTTCATAATTTTATTCAGAGGTCGATCACTTATTGTAGTAAATCTTTTAATTCACTTTGATTACAGACACTATTGTGAGAAAGAGTAAGAAGCTGTTGATTCATCTGGCATTGTTTGCTGCTTCTATAGTGTTCTTATTTTTAAAGTCTTTTATAATATGATACATATTTTATGTTCTACATAAATAAGAATGTTCATATATTTGCAGTCCAAGAATAAATTTTATATGTCTTTTTAATAACAGCAAGGACTCCAATCTCAACTGCATAGACTTCTCTCTGATATAAACACATCCCACAAAGGTTACGAACTCAGCATGGCCAATGGCGTTTTCGCAGAAAAAGTGTTTGACCTTCATGAGGTAAGTTCAGTCTCCTGTCTTAGAAGGTTATTGTCACTCTGGGCCCGAGTCTTGTCTAATCCAGCACCTGAATAAAGACTTTTATCCTTCTACTGAGCCACACAAAGGTGATTTTTCCTATCATTACTAATTATGTTCTCAGGTGTATTCAAAATACCATCACCCGTTTTTAAGGTACCACTTCACCTGAGTGATCCACATATTCGGGGTCCCTAGGTGAGCACCCTGCAAAACCATAGAGAGCTTGTCTCCTGGCCGTGATGAGGAGCTGTCATGGGCGGGGGGGCGGGGGGAAGGAGACCACCCACATAGGGTGTCCATGGGCAGCAGGGGAAAAGTCTGTCCACTTTTTCTTTGAGCTTTGTGTCTGCCGGGGTAGTTTCATTTCTCCAGTGTTGAATTCGCGGACTTTTTTCCAGTCATGCCCTTTCATGTCTCCTTGCAGCACTGAATTACTTGTCTTTTCAGTAAGATCATTTGTGAAGAATTCCTATTAAGACACCTTAGCCCGAGGAGGCCAGCCATTGGCGGGGGAGCAGCTCAGGCTGGACATGGAGGTGGGGAGTAGGTTCTTTCGAGGTCAGCAGACTAAATTTCAGCATTAGTATGTGGTGTTTGTATTATCAGTTCATTTACCATAGTACTGTAATCATCCAAAGACCAACAGAGCAGAATGCACTCTGCATGTTGCCATGGGCAGCACATACTTTAGCGCCATCATCCCTGTGCCAGCCAGCCAGAAACTGGTGAGTGCCATGCAAGCAGACACAGCGGCTGTGATTATCTGGGCATGTTTGTCCTCCCTTTTAATGCTCCAATCCAGAGACAACTATTCTGTGACATCTCCGGACTCATTGCCACTTGCATCTGCCCAGATCTCCGTGTTCCACCCAGCCATTATTGTCTCCTCTGTCTGTCTCCCACTCACATTCTTTGCCCCTCCCCACACCACGCCCCAGTCCTTTGGCAGCCTGCCAGTTGGGAAGCATTAGGGCCCTTTGTTTCGTAATCTTCCCCAAAGAATCCTAGACGAGTGTTACAGGGGCTACCCTGCATGTTCGGCTCCACACGTTGTGTCTCTATTGCCACACACACTGCTGTGTCCCCGAGGGACTGCCAGCTCTCTTAAACTGCGAGTTGATGAGTCTATCCTGCTACTATTTATAGCAGACTTGCGTGGTTCCTTGTCTGGCCCTTGGTGTGTGTGTGCACAGCAATGCACCTAGAAGCACAGTAAAGCACAAGACCTTGGAAAATGGAGACAAAATCTGCTCATTGTTTATTAACATGAAGATGATTAATAGTCAAGCTGATAGAGCAGTTGGTTTTTACAAATCAAAAGCCACGTACTTTATCTTCATTAAATGTAGAGGGAACTGAAGGTTAGCATGCAGAATTCACGCAGGTGTTTTCACTTCAAAGGGCGTTCTTCCCACTACAGCTTGAGGACCATCAGATATTTTCGAAAGTGAGAGATAAGGAACAGTCTAAGCATCATGATACCATAATGAAACTTTGATTTATGAAAGACATTTATTTTTTTAAATTTTTTTAAAAAGAGAAAACTTTTTTCTTGGTCACAAGATGGGGAAATCTCAGCCCCCTCTGCTTACAGGGACACAATAGTCAAAATCTTTAATTCAACGACTCAGCCAGGTGACTGCGTCCTTGCAGAGCCCAGAGAAGAATATCACCCAGACCACTGACAGCAGGGGACAGTCTCTGAAGGGATGAAGGGAGAACCATAGCCTGTAGGAGGACAAGAACTGTCAGAAACACTCTTTCTAACCCAATGCCCTGCGGTGCTCTGTGTAACCAAAGGGTCTCCCAAAGGACTGAGCCACAGACCCACTGTTTCAAAGGCATTTGGGTAGAATCAAGAGAGCGCCAGGTGCAGAGTCAAGTTACCTGAGTCCTAGCTCTGTCACTATATTGTTCTCCAGTCGTCAGCTGATATGTACAAACCTCAGTTCCCTTGTTGATAAAATAAGAGAATTTTACTAAATAGCCTTTATGGCTCTCAACGTTTACAGTTTAATTTGTCATTCTGAATCTCTGATATGCATTGAAAATGGAAAGTATGCATGGTTTTGTTGTGACAGCTCAAACTGAAGGGGCATTAATGTACCATCTTCAATCAGTAGTCAATGGCCTTGGTTCATTTCCAGAGCAGGACCAAGAGCCAAGAACCACGCAGATACAGCAGGGAGACAGAGACGACTGTGAGATTCAATGCTGAGTTCACATTTAAAGACCAATACATGTAATTCCCCATAGTGGGAGATTAAAGCAGAGGAACTTAATATCGATTCCATAGATGCAGAAAACAAAACTCTCCTGATCTAGAAAGGGAATTTCTTTTTTTAAAAGAATTTATTTATTTTCAGAGAGGGAGCAAGGGAGGGAGAAAGAGAGGGAGAGAAACATCGACGTGAGAGAGAAAGATCAGTTGGTTGTCTTTGCACATGCTCCCACCGGGGACTGAACTCGCGAGCCGGGCACATGCCCTGAGCAGGAGCTGAACTGGCGACCTTTCACTTTGCCGGATGATGCTGAACCAAACATGATGCCGCATGGGTCAGGGCTAGAAAGGGAATTTTCTATATAAAATATTCTTGGTAAAATGCCAGATGTTTCTGCCCTAGCACCAGGAACAAGAAGAGTATGTTTTCTGCAACATCGCCATAAACATTTTACTGAAGTCATAACCAGTACGAACATTGAACTGGAGGTCACAGGCAGGAAGAAAAAAAAGTAACATGTATTTGGATTGGGAAGGAGGAAATAAAATGATCATTGTTCACAGATAACAATTGTATTTATAGAAAATCTAAAAGATTTTAGAAGTCAGTTATTAGATTTAATAGTGAATTTAGTACTGTTAGCATATAAACTTATTGGTATTTCTATGCTTTATTCATAATTAAAAATAAAATAAAAAATAATAACATCTACAGTGACATTATAAAACATCAGATACCAGGAATAAACATAATGAAATATGTCCAAGAAATGAGAAAGCTGCAAAGAGAAAGAAGAATTTAAAAACAAACGATGTATTTTGTTTATGGATAGAGCACAATATTATAAAGATATCTATTTATTTATAGATTCAAAACAAGTGATTTTGGAGAAATTGATGAGCTGATTTTAAAATTTACATGGAAATGTAAAGAATTAAGAAAACTTAATGGTGAAGGAAAGGAAAAAACTCGGAGGACTTATATTACTGAAAAATTAAAGTCTAAAAGCTACAGTAGTTAAGATTTTTGGCATTTTTGCAAAGATAGACAATAAATCAGTGGAACACAGTGGCAAATCCTGAAACAGACGTATACAGAGACACTTGATTCATGATAAATGTCTCTGAAGAGTGATAAGGAAGGGATGGAATTTGTAATAAATGGCTTTGGTTCAACTGGCTATCCATAGAGAAAAATGTCCGTTGACACCTGTCTGTATACAAAAAAATCAATTCCAGATGGATCATAGACATGAATGTGAATGGCGAAACAACACAGTGTTAGGAGATAACTATTATTCTAAAAACCTTGGAGAAGCAAAGATTTTTTAAATCCCTGTTTTAAGATACATAGAGCACTGATCATGTAGGGTGAAGCAGAGAGAGAGATGGCATTAGAATGAAGAATTTAGTTTCACTGAAGGACATCACGAAGAGCGCGGGAAGGCAAGCCACGGTGGTTGAACATATTTGCAGCACACGGAAGCAGGAGAGCACCAACATCCAAACCAGACATTCCGACAAGACAGTAAGAAAAACACAAACAGCCAGGCAGAAAATCCTGAACTGGCATTTTACAAAAGAACATCTTTAAAAGGCCAGTAAACATGAGGACTGACAGTTAATCTCAATAGTTTGATTCCTTGTCATTTATGTTTCATGTATCTCTCTTTTTTATTATTGCAGACAGTATAATCTTTTTTTATTGTAATCGTTGTTCAAGTGCAGTTTTCTGTCATGTATCTCTTTTTAGGGACATAAGCAACAGCACTTGAAGGAGATTGGCAAGACCTACTAGCTGGGCTAACAAAAGTTATATGTATCACACACACACACAGACACATACACACAAATTCTCGGTGGCCCAAAGCTGTTCTAGAATTTTCTGGAAGTGCTGACACTCTGCACTCATCAACTTCTCTGGCCAGGGACTGGTTCTTAATACTCTTTGTAGCCAGTGTCAGAGTAGAAGGATAGGTGGATGGATGGATGGATGTAGAGAACATGAAAAGAGCCTTGTTCATGGAAACTACACAGAAAGCCTTTTTATAGAGGTAATATCATCCTGCAGACAGAGTGTGAATATCTAGCCAACCCTCAGGATTAGGGTTGGAAATCCTGTAAAATTTATCAGGCTTTCCCTTGACAATACACACAAGGGCATGATTTGCAATGAATCTTATTTTGCCGAATTATGAAAATATTTCCCTCAAAATGTATATGTGTCTATTTGTCGTACTGCTGGTGTGTTGCCAAATTAGCTTGCTATGATGTCTTTTTATTCAAAAGAATCCATATTTGTTGAGCCCCGACTATGTGCCAGGGGCTAGGAATACAGTAACAGGTAAGATATATATGGTCCCGGCGTCACTGAGTTTCCTGGGTTGTGAGGGGCTCCAGAAAGCTCAGAGGTTAGTAGGATGCAGTGGGATAACAGCTGGTCAGAAAATGAAGTTGAAAAATCATTGGAGGATATGGGGGAGGGGGTGGGGCCCGGGGAAGACTTCTCTCGGGGAGAGGCATCTATCTATGCTTGGAACTGGCAAATGGGTGAGGCAGAACCATGGGGGCTGCGGGGCACTGCAGGCAGGATGGATGCTGTCCGAAGACTTCCGGAGAGACACGACGCACAGCACTTCCGAGGAGCTTCCTGCAGCCGGCTCTGGCTGGGGAGCAGAGTATGCAGGGGACAGTGGCCAGACACGAGGGAAGGGGAGTGCAGGTCAGCAGAGCCTTGCAAGCCAGGATTTGGGCTTTATCATAAGTGCAGAAAGCAGCCTTGACACGTTTTAGGTAGGAAGGGGTGACGTGAACAAGGGACACAAGTTTGGAGGCTCATGCAGAATTTATGGTGAGAGAGCAGCAGTGAAAGCACGGGGGTGGGCATTAGCCACTGTCCCTGTTGGTCCTCCCCACTCCATTCCAGACAAACTCAAACTCGGCTGGGTGCTGGAGCCGCCCAGCTCCCCCACTGGCTGGCCCGCGTTCCCGATTTCCAGCTGCATTTCCCTGCTCTTTGAGGCCGGAATGAATCCTTGAGTAAAGTAGTGAAAATAAAGAGGCGAATTCAAGAATACATTCTTATTTTGCTTAGCTGGTGGTGATTTGTAAATGTAAAAACTGCATATTACTTATAGAACTGTATATGATTTGTATTTGTAGGACTATATTAAGTGTGCTGAGAAATTATACCATGCCAAAGTGGAACGGGTTGACTTTACAAATGCTTTACAAGACAGCAAATATAAAATGAATAAATGGGTTGAAAATGAGACACACGGTGAGTGCAATGCTTGATTTTTCTGCAAGATTTGTCAGTTATGTGTGAAGGTTGAGAACCGTCAATGTTCAAGTTAGGAGTCTTTCGTATATAGAAGGAACAGCACTTCCTAATCCAAAGTAATGATCGTTGTTATTTAAAATTGCTTTAGTATTTGTCTGCAATGTGGTGTTGAGCCATCCTAATAATCGGAATGTTTTATACTTTTAAGAAGTCTTGGCTATTACGTTATCCCATTTGATTTTGAAATAATCTTGTGAGACAAAGAGGTTTTACGATGGCCATTTCATAAATTAGTGATAAGTTAAAGTAATTTACTCAGTTATCCTCAATATCGTATGTCCAGTTAGTGAACAAGTGTAAGAGTAGGTCACAGGACATTATTTTTAATGATCACAACGTAGTTCATTCTAATGGCCAATCCCACATCTTACTGTTCCTTCTTAGACTGAAGGGTCTTATTAAAATTACAGCATCCTACTGTCTAAGAAATATATTTCATATCATTGCTTTTTCTAAGGATGCATACTTTAATTTAAAAAAATTTTAAATCAAAATAGTATATGTCACACATGTAGTACCTTCAAGAAGAAGTACATCTTTTTTTTTGGTGACTTTTACAACTCACCATTGAATCACAGCTAATGTTCTGTACAAAGCAAATAAGGAAATCTATTCCTTGTTGTTATGTTCACCGGCCGACTCCAAAGCTAGCCATTTCTCTAGCTAAGGCTTGGCTTTGTTTTATACTCAGACCAATACATGTGTATTTGCTTACCTGGCTCTGTGTTAGAAACACGACACATGATTTGGATGGGTAAATGCAAACATTCTGCAGCATACAATCGGCTCTGGGAGCAAGAACACAGTGTCTGAGTTTTCCTCTTGCTCATTAATTCATCGGAACGTCCGCAGATGGCTACTTTGACCACTGCCACCACACTTTTCCAATATCTACTATTCACACATCAAGAGAAACCATGAAATTACGTTTCTAATAACCAAGAGGGCTTCTATTTACTCTTTAGTACCTAAAGGTATCAGATTACTAATACTCTTCTCCATGTGGACCATTTATTATCGCTGTTCCTTCTTTTTCCATGCTAATATACATATACATATGTAATTATTCTCATTTTGACTCAATACCCATTTGGGGAAACACTCACCTAGTAAACCCACCTAGCTTTTATTGCCACACCTCTCCCCCTCCAATCTTCCACACACGACAAGAGCCATCCTCTTGAAACACAAACCCGATCTGTCATTACCATGCCCTTTTTTGTCTTCCAATGAATCATGAACAATAATTCTCTACTGTCTTCAGGATCATCCCAAATTCTCACCAGACACTGAAGGCTCTTTATTATCTGGCCCGTGCCTCCAACTTCTCCAGCTTCACTCTTCCTGTAGCATCAGGGTGTCCATGATGCATTTCGCTCTTCCCGGCTTCCAGGTCTTTGAGCAAACAGTCCCTCAGCTCAGCAGGCGGCCGGCCCAGAGAGGGTGCCTGCAGCCCCGGCCCCGCCCCGCCCCATCCACCCCACCGCACACTGAGCGCGCCCGCGGCTCTGCTCTCAGCACGCGGGTGTGCGCGCACGGATGGCACGGCCTGTGTCTTTCACTGGTGTGACTCAAGGATCCAGAATATGTAGTGCAAGACATTTAGCAAAAATCTCGTGACTGTGGAATGAAGGAAGGAATTAGCTCTTCCAACAGGACAGAGTGCTATGGCCTCATCCACGAGTAAAGGCCGTCTGGTGCCCGTGAGCAGGGAGAGGGTCTGGGCACTGTCTCCTGGATGCAAATCCTCTCGCCAGGACTTCTTGCTGTGGGATTTTGCACAAATCACTCACCCTCCCCCTGCCCCGTTTCTCTGACAGGAGCCGGAAACAATTACAGTGCCTCCTTCCCAGGGGTTGTGTGAGGAGTAAACCAAGTATTGCACAGAAAGCATTTAAAGAGTCCCGGACAGAGTCACTGCTCATAGATTGCTACAGACATAATAATTGTTACAATTCCATGATAAGAGAAATACGCTTATGTCATCTTAAATTTTTAAGAAATGTACATTAAATCGCTAACTTTTCTTCTCAACTGATCTCTCAAAAGGCAAGATCAAGAATGTCATCGGCGACGAGAGCTTCAGCTCGTCCGCGGTGATGGTGCTGGTGAACGCCGTGTACTTCAAGGGCCAGTGGGAGTCTGCCTTCCCGAAGGGGGACACCATGCGCTGCCCCTTCAAGTCTCCCCAGGTGTGGACTCCACTTCACGGGGGAAGGGTTTCTGAGGACAGTATTTCTTTACGGCAATTGTGGTGTTTACACAGACAAATGCTGGGTTCGCCCACGCTTTCCTCATTTTTCTCCTGTGTTAACAGTATCAGAGGCACAGGGGGTCCAAACGGCAGCCCGGCCCGTGCGCCCCATGCAGCCCAGGATGGCTGTGAAGGAGGCCTAACATAAAATCATAAATTTACTTAAAACATTATGAGATTTTTTTTGTGGTTACGTGGAGGGATATATTTAATGGGCGGCCCAAGACAAGTCCTCTTCTTCCAGTGTGGCCCAGAGACGCCAAAAGGTTGGACACCCCTGTCACAGACCAGTGTTGACAAAAGAAACTTTCTGTTTTCCTGCTGATGCAGGTTATGGAAACATACAACGGGAGGCATCCTGTAAATTGATATTTCTTAAAATACACTTGAAATTGAGAACAGTAATAACGTATGAATTTATCTGAAGATACTCTGGTAGGGGGCCTGTAAGGAGAAAATATGACAAGAGTGTAAGTTTTATTTTTCATGATTCTAACTGCGGGATGCACAGTCAGAGTCACTTACTATCAGCGATTTTTCCTGAGTCAAAGCAAGTATATGTTTTCTTTTACGAAACATAAAATTATGTTTGCTGAAGTTATCCATTTGTGAGTATCGGTTATATCCACTTCATCATTGATTTCTCTTTGATTTAAAACCACCTTCATAAAATACATATTCTTTCTCTCTGAGCCCATTTGTGCATAATAATCTGAGTATAGTAGGAACATCAAAGAAAGGCCTTGGAGTCAGAAACACCACATCAGGGTCCTCACCTTGCCTCGTAGAAGCTGCCTTGTCTTGGCACGTTAACCACCGCAGACCTCACACAGGGGGCAAAGGGGTTCCATTAATTCTCATCTAGTATGTCTGTCCTTCCCTCAGTCTGTTAGGTTGAGGTAAAGAAGTTCAGATGTAACTTTCACGCTCAGTCTTACTTTTCAAGTGGGCAATGCCGCTGAAAGGCTGTTTCTGCATTTCCCCACACGGGGAGTCTAAGACACAGGAGTGCTAGGGGCCGGTGGAGATGAAAGGTCACCGGACAGTGGGGAGGTGGGGCATCAGAGGCCGCCTCGCAGGCGGAACCACAGGAGTGTGGCAGGAGCAAGGCATCTGGAAGGTATTTGAGAGGAGGGAGAGGAGACTTGAGTGCAGAGTAGACGGGGCCAGGGTGACCCCAAGGCTGGCTCTGGTGACTTCCCCCTGCACCTTCTTGCATGGACAGCAGCCAGCTCTGCCTCGAGTCCCTGACGACAGCGGCGTCCTAGCGACAGGCCTGAGGGGCAAGTTCACCATGCAGGCGTCTCTGGGGGAGTAAAGAGAGGAGCACAGAGATATTTTTAAGGTATAATAAATCCTAATAACAATGCAGCTCTGTCTTTAGAGACATTATCTGTATCATTGCAACAGGAAGGACATTGGGCTGTGCTAGCATTTTAGGGACAGGGCTGGCCTTGTTAGCAGAGTGGGCTGCATTCGTGGATTCATTTGCTTTGATGAAAACGCAGCAGGCCTGTCCTCTGCAGTTTGTAATAACTGTTTAAAAAATAATTTGCCTGCCTGTCTTACATACCGTATATTATAGTTATAGTGCATAGCTTCTAATAGACTATAGACTTTCTATCAATGACGTCAGTTTTGGGGAAATGCCCTCTTTGCCAAGAAGCCTTGTTTCAGCCTCTCTCCAGCATCACGCTGCCGTGCGGTTGTCACCCGGTGTGGAAATGCAAGACTGGGGTCGTGCTGTGCCGGCCCCGTTTGCACCAGGCTCACTTTGGCTGACCTGTCTCTCTACGCAGGAGCTGTTTCCCCTCCACTGCTCCAGCTGTGTTCTTTCTGAGCTTCCAACTCTTGGTCAGAACGGAGGTCCTTTCCCGAGGGAGAAGCCTTTGGTTCCAGCACAGATAATAACCTATCCTCCTGCTTTGGAACTTCCTGCACTGAAGGGAGATGTGACAGGCAAGGTGACAGGCTTGCAGAGTCACCCCCTCTTTTAGGAAAGGGATGGTTTAGCACGCCTCCGTGGTGTTTCCAGATCCACAGACGGTGTCCTCAAGGTTAGAGCTGCTGCGTTTCCCCCAAGTTAACTTGAGCAATAGTGTCAAATATTTTACAGGAATTAAGAATATTTTTATAAGACTTTATTCTTAAATTATGCAATTTTGATGTACTAGTCTGTATTCTACCTTGGCTAGAGTAAAAATCTAGAGCATTCATTTTCAATTGTAATGCTGTTTAATGATTATTTGTTATTATACAGATACTTTCAGATAAAATACTCAGTGCAAAGCAGTGTTCCAAGTGCTAGCTGTAGTATTAGCTCTCACAACCCTTACAATGATCCTGTGCAGTGGAGACTGTTGTTACACTCACTAGACAGCTGGGACGTGGAGGCCCAGAGAGGTGAAGTGACTTGCCCAAGGTCACACAGCTGGGGAATTGTAAGCTCGGGCAGTGAAAGTGTGTGCTGTTACTCCTGGGATGTGCACCGACCCAACCACTATCAGTAGCTTGTCGGGAAGAACCTTCGGGAGCAAGTAAACAGAAGCTGAAGTCATTCTTCCTTTCATCCCTGGTAAATGAGTGAAACAAGTTGGGCTCATTAACACGATTTTGTGACTTGACTTCCAGTGTCCTGGGAAAATAGTTGCCATGATGTATCAAGAGCGGATGTTCAATCTGTCCGTCATTCAGGACCCAAACATGCAAGTTCTTGAACTCAGATATCATGGGGGAGTAAGCATGTACGTAATGCTACCTGAGAGTGACCTCTCCCAGGTAAGTTGTGACTCCTGCTTTCACTGGTGGGGATGGCTGTTAGGGTATTGTTAATTGTGTGTTTATCCATCAGCTTTAAGATTTCGGGTTGTTGGAATATTAGAGACTACCTGCTTGCTCATTTATTTGGTGAATATTTAACGAGTACTTTCTATGTGCAGGCATGGTTACAGGTGTCGAGATCACCTTACCCCCCTGATTAACATAATTTTATTTAAATAGTTGTAATATTGGAGCCCTCGTCTATCTCAGCTACGGCAGGACAGGGGCTCGAGTTATTGTCTTCTTTGCCTTTGGCCATGAAAACTGTCCTTCATGTCTATTGAAAGTTTGACAGACTAAACATTTTCAGGCAGGAATGATGTGATGAAGTTTTGAAGTCCTAGCCCTTTAAGAATTAAAATGTGTGCTCTCACTGTGCTGCTGCGTCTCTAGGCAAAGCAAAGGCTAGGGACTGCCCTGTGACTGATGTAGCCAGAAGCAACCTGGCAGCACAGTGCAAGGGGCAGACGGTGGTGGCCACGTGAGCCAGGCATCATCTCTGTATCTTAGATCTTCCTGTTCTTTCAGCCCTTTGTGCTCTCCTCCTTGTCGTGAGCTTGGCCACCTCAGTCTGCAGCCTGCACTCCCAGAAGCCTAGATCTCATCCCCCTGCTTTGTACGTCCAACCAGAAGGACTATTTATTGAGCACCTACTATGTGCCAGGTGTTTCAGTTATATTATCTTGTTTGAAATGAAGAGCAAGTGAAATGTCATAAAGTTGACATTTAAAAATGGAAAGTGTGGTGATATAAAGTGTTGATACTCTTATTAAATTATTCACTTGACAATCTATACCCAGGAGATTTTAGCACACATCAGTTATTTTAACTTCAAATATTCTGTAATAATAGAAAGAGGAGCCTAGATAAAATAAGCAGTAGGTAAGTGAAAAGATAGATTTGTCCCGGTACTTATTGACTAAGTTGTTTTTTTCTGTAATAGATTTTGCTCACTGTGTGGGTCAGATTAGTACATGTGCATGTGTCTGGATAATCCTCCGTGACTAAATAATGCTGGGGAAGTTGGCTTTGCAGTGGGCTAAATGAGGGAAAAACTCTAACTCGGAATAAAAAGTTATGACAGATTAACTTTAAACTGGATAATTCACACACAAAAATTTGAATGAGACTAAATTTGATTACATAAGTTTGGGTTCTTGATAAGAATACAGATAAGGTTGAATAGCTGTGAAAATCTATTTAGGATTCCAGTGAGCCTGGCTTCATCTGAGAACAAATGCTCATATATAAAACCTGCAAACCGTGTGAGTGAAAAAAAAATCTTCCCATTCTACGCCTGGAATAATCTATGACTAATTCTCAGGCGTTGGTGAATTTAATATGGGAATCATTTAAGGGCAGATGCTGCTGGAGAGAGACATGGGCTCCTAGCTGGGTGGTTAAGTTTCCTAGCTGTGCCCCGTGGGCAAATCTCCCGACATCCTTTTGAGTTTCAGTCATCCCCACGTGCTGAGCTGGAGAGTCCCTTTGGATCCCAGCCTGGCTGACAGCGTGGGTGGGTGTGCTGGGAGATACGGATCACCTGGGCCCTTGAGGCTAGAGCTCTGTGTTCCAGAGCTCTGTGTTGCTTGCCTCGGGTCCTCCGGGGTTCGTGCCATTGGCTTACTCCTGTGAGCTGTGCAAACGTTGCCATTTTCTGTCTTTGTGATGAGGAGATGGTCAGGCAACACTGATTTAAATGACTGACTGCTGAGCTCTTTTCTCCCTCTGATGACCTCTGAATCCTGAATTCTATACATGTCCCTATGTGGGCCGAGAAGAGAAACTCCCCGGAACACGATTATACAGTTACCCGTTGTCATAGCAGGAGAAATTAAACATGTGATTCATTAAAGGGTGCTTGAAGTATGTTTTCATCATTCCCCATTTCCAAACCCTCCAGGACTTACCCATAAATACAGTACCCAGGAGGGGATCATTATGGGAAACCGTATCTTTGTAGTTCTCTCATTTGTTTCTTAACCATATGGTTCTGAATTGCCTTTCGCATGTTCCTACAGGTTGAAAACCAACTGACTTTTGAGAACCTAATGAAATGGACCAATCCACGAAAAATGAGCCACCGGTACGTCAAAGTGTTTCTTCCTCAGTTCAAGATAGAGAAGGAGTATGAAATCAAACGGCATTTGAAAGCCCTGGGGCTGAGAGACATCTTCGAGGAGTCCCGAGCTGATTTCTCGGGCATAGAGTCAGGGGGCCGCCTCTATATGTCGAAGCTGATGCACAAGTCACACATCGAGGTGGACGAGGACGGCACGGAGGCGGCCGCCGTCTCCGGGAACAGCATCGTGGAGAAGCTGCTCCCCGAGTCGACAGTGTTCAGAGCTGATCACCCATTCTTGTTTGTCATCAGGAAGAATGACATCATCTTGTTCAATGGCAAAGTCTCTTGCCCTTGACCATCCCATTGGTTTCCCTTATGATAGTCCCATCAACGTCAAGGAACCGCCGCCAGTGAATAGATATAGTGTAATGGGAAGCATGTGGTGTTTCCTTCCGTTCACTTTTTTTTTTAACATTGGTCAGCGATGATTTTGGTGACTCGACTCTTCTCAGACACCTGGTGGATTATCCCGATCTTGCTCTTAGCATTTCTGCCACCGTCTGCCTCACCTGTTTATAAAGTCAGTGTCTTTCTGCCCACTCTCACTTCTACCAGTCTGCCCCACAGCTGCGTAGGCGCGCATCTGGGCCTGACATCTGGGAACGGTGGCCGTGTCCTCCACTGGTCATGGCAACAGGGAAACAGCCCTAGAGATCTTTTCCGAAACTCTATAGGTATCACAGATAGTCTAGTTTTACTGGAAATGATCTAAGAAGTAAGCCCAGCTGCTAGAAATAAGGGTGAGAGATAATTTTTCCTTGCTGACCTAAGAAGACATTTGAGTTGACTTTGATGTCGATGTGAAATCAGTCTCTAAATGCAAAAAAAAAAAAAAAGGATTTGGGATTGGGGCCAACCAAAATATTTCATTAATACCTTCAAGTGAGCGAATGTGTTTTGGCTTTTCCTTGATGGAGACTTAATATGTACATAGTTTTTTCAAATATTAAAATCTTTTAACTGTTGTCAGTTGTTATCTCCAGTATATTATTTCACATGCTGTGTAGTTTCCATGTGTTTTCTCCATTTGTCAGAAGAAAGAAATGCAACAGAACTGCACAGGGCGATCATTCTCCTGTGACCAACGGTGAGACTGGCAGCATAGGCGAGCAAGCAAGGGAAAAAGAAAGAAAGAATGCTTTCCAAACATAAATCTGATTTTGTTAAATGTTGTTCATTCACGACACACGGAAATTACTTTTACAGCTACTCGCATGGGCTGATGAGCTCATTTTAAATACTGAAATTTAAATTCATAAGAGGAAAGGATTAGCATACATGAATATTTACAGTAAGTCACAGGTAGCTTAACAGAACAGATCAAAAATAAATTGAGAATCACTAGACCATGCTGAACTTCCTAATAGCCTAAGGCATGGCTCTGTGGTGCTCAGTCCTAGACCTGGCAGACACTTGACCTTCAACAAATATTGTGGAGTCCATGACTATGGCATGAATGAATGAATGAATGAATGAGTGTGAGATGTAATCTGAAAGATGTAGAGAAGTTGCTTACAGAAATAATTTGGTTACTGACCTGCCACACTGAAATGACTGTGATGTCCTTCAGAGATCTTTGCAGGTATATTTTTGGTAGAGAGAAACTGGTTTTTCTGATTAACTCCATTCCCACTGATGGCCATTCAAAAATGACATGCTCCTAGACCCTGTTCTTAGGGAGACTTCGGTTCCCTCATTTGTAGGATTAATTTGGGGACCTGATAGTTTTCTTCTCAAGTCTCTGACTCTTGTTTAAGTTAAAGCCATAATCCCTACGAAGGTGCAGGAAAGATAAACATTTCTGAATAATTTTTCTGTTTAAAGTCTTCATTTTCATGATCACATTTAACACTCACAACATCCTCGTCGGGTCTCTACAATTACCCCTATTTTATAATCTCCATATCTTGCTGTGTATAATGTGTACTTTTTTGCCTAAAATTTTAAGGGAAAAATAAGGATGCACATTGTACATGGGTAGCCCTAATTCTGTATCTATATAAATGTTTTAAATTCTGTTATTTATGCTAATGCATTGAAAGTGTAACTCTAGGAAGCAATAACAATATCCATATGCAAAATATAATAGCCTGGAATATGATCATTGGTTTTGTTTCTAAATATAAACACATAAAAAATTGAGTTAAATAATTAAAACGATTTTTTTCCTGAAAGTTTGGGCCAAAAATGTGGTTGCACATTATATAACGCAAAATACGGTAGGTTTAGAGAGGTCAAATAAGTTACTCACATGTATGACAAAAGGCAAAGTTCATGTTAATTCTCAAGTTTGTCTGATTCAAAAGCTCTCTGTTATAAAAACCCATGATAGGCTATTTCAACTAGCTGTCCTTCCGCAGAGTAAACATGTTTTCTCGGACTCTGTGGATCAGGTAGAATGACCTGGTATAGCCAGAGGCAGGGTTTTGAGTGCAGGGCAACCCCGTGAATTACCAGAGCGCAGGCTTCGTAAACAGCTAAGCAAGGAGGTAACAAACCAATGGGTCAAGTGCTTCACAGGCTGAGAAACAGGTCTCGGTCTACACATTTACTTCTATTTTCTTGTGAACTTGAACTCATCTCAGCCCCATTTCTTGCCCACTCCCCACTCCATTCTTAGTTATCTGACAACACGCAATAGAAATACCCTGATGTCTTACAGGATTTGACTTCCATGTCAATGCGCAGAGATGGATAGCTTTCCAAGCAAGTGGAAACATTTCTATAAAACGTGACCCACTCTGCCAGCCAAATGATTTAAATTTGCTCTTCTCTGTGTAGGAATTCTTCAGGCTGCTTTACTGGAACCACACCCTTTGGCCTGGAGACATGGCAGCTGGGTCTCCGGATGCTGGCAAGACACTCTCTTAACTTACGTCAACAAAAGAATTATGACTTTTCTATTTATGTTATCACTCAAAACCAGCCATTACGAGTTTTTCTTTTTAGATGCTCCTGAGGAGCCTCACCGTATAGAGTCTCTTTCCCCTTTTAGAACATCAGGACAAACGAGAGATTTTCCTAAGACCATTGGGCCTCCCTAAGACTGAGATACTCCATTTATGCCAACGACAGACGGGGAGAGTTTCACTCTAATGCCAGTAACTTAATGGAAGCCCCTTAAGGTGTGTGCAGTGCAATGTAAGATAATGGTGCAGCCACCGAAATATAGACTTTCAGCCTCTTGTATCCAAAACCCTGACCAGGTACCCCAAGCAGAGTCAGGAGTAAGGTGAGGCAAGCCAAGTTCCAAAGGGAGCAAAATTTAAGGAGGCGCTAATTCTCAGGAGTTAGTGTTTGTATGACTGAGCACAAGTGCTTCCTTAAATTTTGCTCAGTGGGGTGGCTCATTTTTCAAGAGGTGCTCACTTCCAAGTTCAGGGTTGCAGACCATAGAGTCAACATGTAAAGTCAGAGCTTCCTTAAATTTTGCACCCAGGGGTCTTCCTTCACCCTAGTCCCAGCGTGAATCCCTCGAGGCCATCAACTCCAGGTGGTTCTTCCCAATAACCCCTCACGCGAAGGGAGACGCAGGACATGATGCTACAGCAGCAGGGGTCCCAGGGCCTGCCTGCCTGCACCAAGCAGCAGGTTGAAAAACAAATGCTGAGCTTTCCCTATTGTCTTCTAGCCTCAGTCCCCTGAACACTGCCCAGGGTGAAGGAGGGTTAGTGCAGGAAAGAAGGAAGGAAGGCGGGAATGGCAGACTAATGCTTCTTCCTCGAACACCCCGTGCCATTGTTCTGGCTCCTTCGGAGAGGCTTCTGAGCCCCGCGTGGTGGTGGGTGGACAGCCTCCTGCAGGCCCCAAGCCCAGGTGCGTTCTGCCGGCCCCACAGACGCCAGAACAGGAAGCTCCGTCTTTTCTTGATAGATACTGGAGAACTGTTTCACAGAAGAAAGTGGGATAAAAATTCTGTGGGATTCTAATGTGCTTAGTTATATTTCTACCCCCTTTAAAATATATATATATATAAAGCAATGCTCTCCATTATATGTGTTAATGGCAACACCAAGCCATGGGGGAGACGTGTCCGTTGAGATGTTTCTGCGATGGTGGGAATGGGCTTTGCCCGCTGTGTCCTTACCCTCTCGTTCAGTCAGTTCTTTTGTCTATTTTGGAAAACTCAGAGAGGTCATGCGTCTATTAGGATTAAAACTATAAGCTGGTACTTTTTTGTTATTATCTAACCCAGTGAACTTACCTAAGCTGACACAACAACAACAACAATAATGAAAATATTCACTGACATGTTTGACCGCCTACTGAACGCAGGCACAGTTACACAAACATTATAGACATTATGTAATTTGATGCTCACCCTAGTCTTGTAAGGAACCTGTTACTTAGCCACTGTTGCAGAATAGAAAATAGAGACTAGAAAAATGGGGAAAAAAAAAGGCCCGTGGTCGTAAATATAGAATGTGACAGCTGGAATTTTGATTCCAAAATCTGTGTTCTTGTTGCTTCCACAAAGCCTCATTTTTGATCAGTTTAGATTTTACCAAATAGAAGTAACTCTTTTCCTAATTTGAGCTAGACTGTTAAGTGGTGGTATCTGGACCTACGCTTTTGTTGTTGTTGATTGCCTTGGTGTTCCAGAGCCCAGGTAAAGAAGTGGACTCGCTCAGTGCTGCAAACACACAGTTCTGCTCTGACGTTTTTAAAGAGATGAGCTCTGACCACGTGACTGAGAACACCTCCTCTCCCTTGCGTCCACTGTCCACCCTGGCTGTGGTGCTCTTTGGGACGAGAGGCAACAGTGCTTTTCAGATAGAAAAGGAACATCATACGCTTGTAGTTGTACCTGGAAGACAAGCAAGGGATGGTTTCAAACCCCTCTTGTTATGGAGATTTCATAGAAACCCACTCTAAACACGAGAGAATATCCACCTTCACTTAAGGTTACCTATTGCACTGGCTCTTTAAGAAATGCTGGTTAGTGGCACCCCCTTCAGAGGGACCTAGAAGTGTGCATTTCAGAGAGACCAAACCACAACTATGGCTTTAGGTTGGGTGAGGGAGACTCATGATTCCATTTGCTTTTCTCTTAAAGGTAACCCTCAAAGTTTTTTCCCTAAAAACATATTAAATTATTTCTGGCCTTGGTAGGAAAATTAATTTCCAAGTGATTATCCTTACATACTCAACAAAGTACAGGTTTAGATTTACAAGACACTTTAAAAAATATTGAACCTTTAAAACAAAATTCTCCATGGTACTTTTATCCTATTTTGAAAGTAGATGTGTTATTTTTTAGCTCTCTAGTTGTAAAATGAAAGACTGGTGTAAAACATGGACCTCGATAAGCTTTCACAGTAGGTTTAGGCTTTGGCCTGAGCTTAACTCATTGTGAGGCGATTTGCTTCCTGCAGACTGGGAGTGAAGTCAGGTGATGCGGAAGACCTGTGAGACATTCCTGGAATTAAGAGGCAGGTCACGAAACTAATGAAATATTGGATGTGACCTGTAATTGAACATTTTATTAATTTACAAAAATATTCAGAAGAAAATACAGGCAGGTTATATGTGAAATGGGTGTGATCTTATGAAACAAATCAGAGCTGGTGGAAAAGCTTCCCCGTCAAAATAAAAGGTTCCAGGAGGGCTCTGCCCACCACCCTCAGTTTTCTGACTTCTTTTTTGAGTGCCCACAAGGGTGCTCCACTCCAGGCTGCAACCAAAACAGAACATGCTATTTAATGTGAAAGGGTGGATCTGTACATTATAATTAAGTCCCAAAGCTATCAAATGTATTCACTCTCTTAAATGTTTTACCAACAAATGCTTGAAATTATCAGTTACTTTAAAATTTGTTGTGGTTGATTGTAAAAATAAAGAGGGTTTATTCTTGTAAATAAAGATTTTTCAAGCAAAAGAAATAGTGAATGAC